ATTATAAACAAAGTGAGATTCCTCTTCTTGATAGAAACGTACTTTTCTTTAGAACAGTGTTTTACAGACTATTCCATGAAACAGATCCACTAATTATTAATAAGTGTTCTAAGAGAAAAGCGAGTTCTCTAGTCACAAGATTTAGGGAACCACTGCAAACCGTAACTTCCTTGTGGGGACTCACAATAAATCAATAAATACTATAATAATAAAAGCACTGAGAAATCTTGTAGAAATGAAACCTGTGAGATTATGTACAACCAGTCCCTGGTTTATGAATGTCCGACTTAATGGACAGCTTGTACTTAAGAACGGACTGCCATAAAGCCTACTATATTAAAAATTTAAGTTAAATACAATGGTTCGTAATAACAAATGCATGCACTACTTTGTGACACTCATGAAAATATTGTGGTTTGGAAGTGTTTCTCAAGTGTTTCATATGCCTAGAAAGGCAAAATGTACACTATATGCTGAGACAAACGTTTGACTAACTGACAATAAATAAGAAACGTATATATATACCTGTTCCAATTCGACTTAAAGACAGACTTAGGAACAGGTTTCATTCGTAACTCAGGGACTACCTGTATTTGTGTTCTAAGTGCATTTGTCTCTAGATCCTCTTGTCTTTGAAATACTTATGCATAGCTCAAGCACTGCCAGCTACCTGTAGAAGACATTTTTGGAAGTTGTATTCTTAGAACTTGGACCATAAGTTAGCAATCTTCCCTATCCTCATCTTCCACAATAAGCTTTTAGTAGATTAAGTTTGATTCAAATATCAGGCCACCTACATGAGTATAATGTTGGATAAAAAATATGTAATGTGAAAGAGTTATACAAAACCAGGCATCTAATGAACTCAAAGGAGACTTGACAGGAGTTTAGTTTTGTCAGGGAAAGGTAAAAATAAATGTCTTAGAAGAAATCAAGAACACACAGTACTATGGATTAGTCGATTACTGTTATCTTTGATTACCTATTGATTTATCTTTTTTTCTGGTTTAGGTTTTAGTATGAAACTGATGCCAGAATGTCCTGGCAAAAAATCTGTCCTGGCATGAAACCAATTGTGATATCTCTTTCTATATATATATTTCAATTTATTTGCAATGTATTAAAAGTTCCTACATTTAAATGAAAAGGAAAATAAGTGGCCTTGGGATAACAGAATTCGATCAAAGGAGTAAAATTATTATTCTATGGGTATTGAATAGATAAATTGAAATTGTACTCTCCAAACAAGTGAATTAAATGATATGTTGCTATAAAGTCGGATTTAATAAGAGTTTCCATATGAAAAGCTGTATAAGTAGATTTGTATTCCTTTAATAATAATAAAGAAATTCCTTTTTTAACCTGCCAGCCCCTACTGAAACCTTCTTATCTTTGATACCCGAAGCATGTTAGCTGTTTATAACTGGGAAGCCAGTTACCCATGAAATCATGCAGTCATTTTTCTTCATCAGCCCTTTGGTGTGGCCGTATTTGGAGGATTTCCCCCAACATACAGACTAGCAGTGCTGTTTGGAGAAGCAGAGTTTTACTCAGTTAATTTGATTTCCTTGCCCTGCTCTGGTTGGTTGATCACTCTTGTTACTTAAGAGGAACAGTAGTTTTGCTGCAAAGTAGAACTATTTCACGATGTAGGAAGCTAAGGCAACAAAATTGATATTCCAGCTGTAATAACAGGCTCAAGTGTTCTATCTTGTAGGGAAAAGTATTGGCATGCCACCTCCTTTCACACTACCATTCCTTTAAGGCCAAATGCAAGTGTAATACTGAGGTAAATGGGGCTACTTGGGGTGACACAGTTTCTCCGTCTGCCTTTTGCCAAGTTGTCTTGAGCCAAGTCTATAGGTGAGATGAATTGTCTGCGCCAGGCAACAGCTACCAAAACCACTGCAGCCGAGTTAGCTTTCATATGCTTCTTGGGAATGGTGGAAGAAAAAGAACACCTAATTTCTTTCTTTTTATTTTTTATTTTATCGTACTTTAAGTGAAAGTTTACAATTCAAGTTAGT